AAAGGTTACTAGCTAGGATTTCAGTAGTGTACATGGATAAAGTGTGCGCAATGCCATTTTTGCGCAATTTTGGTATGTTTTTTTAAGTGAAAATAGGTCGACGTGTACATGGATACCGCGTGTATGCAATTCTTAAAAACGCGCGGCAAGCAGTGGGCGATTCTGCACTTCTCCCAATTTCGCACCTAATCTTTCATCATGATTAAGCACTTTTGTTCCATAAAAGTTCTAGCATAAGCGTAATTTCGGCTAGCAGATTGTTTGAAAAAAATGTTGAGTTAAAACAAAAAACATGCCTTTACTTCGTGAAAAAACAAATGGCGTCCAACAAAAACTAGCAGGTTGCTGTAGCAGGGTTGGTCGCCAAATTTTTCGCCAAAAAATTGCCAAGTTACCATAATCCAAAGATTAACCCATTATTTTATAAACAATTATTTCATATTTTTAATTTTTATAATTTCTAGATTATATTTAAACTGATGATCTAAAAACCAGATATTTCCGAAATCTGGAATTGCCGAAGTCCCGAGAATTCCAGACCTTGAATTTTGTACTGTAACAGATGCATCAAATTTAGAAAAGATTAATTTATCTATCACATTATTTGCAGATCTATCATTGAATACATCAGTTCGGGTAGAGTAGACTTTAAGGTAACCCTTGTATTATGGCGAAGTTGTTATTTGATTTATCGCCAAGTTGTTGTTTCATTTATGATAGCCTGAGTAGTTGGATGTTATGGAAACCCTATTGTGACGTAATCGAGTGCATGATTCTGGGAAATTTTGAATCGTGGGATGTTTTGTAAGCATTTTTTTGGTGTGTGTTGGTTTGATTCTTTAGACGGTAGAATGGCCGAATGTAGTAAGATTAATTTGAAATTGCTGTACGATTTGGAGCGAAAGGGGAAAACAGCTTTAATTGACTGTTGTGTAAATGTACGTTTACTTAGTAGCCATTATAAGTGTTCTGATCGTTTCGATGGTTTTGAATGGGTTTGTAGGAAGAAAGGTTCAGATGGTCACTATGTGAAGCATTTGATCAGAAAGAGTACCTGGTTTGAAAAAAGTCATTTGAGTATGATTGATATTTTGATTTTTACGTGGCTCTGGGTGTACGAAGCAAATTCAAAAATCATGGTAAGTGAATATTTGTTTTTGGTAGTGCTTAAATGTATAACATGTTTTTCCTTTTTTATGTTATTTTATTGTTTGGTTTAAAATGTATTTTATTGAGATTATGTATTTTTTGTTTGCCTATATTGTAGAATTTGGTGCTCCTTTGACTTTTTAAGTGAAAATATATCGATGTGTACATGGATAAAGTAAAGGGAGTGCGCAATGAAAGTTTGTGCAATTCTGGGATTTTTTTTAAGTGAAAATAGGTCAATGTGTACGTGGATAAAGTTAAAAGAGTGTGCAATGCCATTTTTGTGCAATTCGGGGATTTTTTTTTAAGTGAAAATAAGTCGATGTGTACATGGATACCGAGTTTGTGCAATTCTTTGTATTGTTATTTTGGCTTTGTGTAGCGGCAATTTTTTACCCAAAATATCGCAAGCCAAAATAACAAGTCAAAGAATTATACAAAATCGGTATCCATGTACCACCAAAAATCACCAAGTTGTACCCTAAACCATACTTTTACCCATCAGTTCTAACTATAATGAGTAATAATCCACTAACAAAAGAGGACATATTTTCAAAATCAATTATGTCGACTTTTAGTTCCTAACATGGTGTATATGGGAACTAAATGACGTTTTAGAGGTCCTTCAGTGTCAGTTCATATAAACTTCTCAGATCTGATGTCAAACACATCTGAGATGTGACGTCTTCAAAATGCGAAACAATTTTCTCTACATCGGAATTCATTCTAGGCCAAAAATATAAATTGTTTCTATCTTTTTACAGTTTTTCAATCCAAAACGTGCCTCATGAATTAACTGTAGCATTTTTTTACAAGTACAGGTACACACTTAAGCAAGCACTTACATTACGTAAGCATATTAGGTACCGTTGGGCCTTGCAAATAGCTAAGTTTCTGCTTTAGATTGAATTCTGAAGGACAGCGGCTCGGGGTGCAGTACGAGGAACTTCCACCACTGTTTCCCTACCACCACCGTCTCAAGATCATATGCATTTTGAAACCTAGTGTATCACCAATGTGTGTTTTGACTGCCCCCTTTCTGCACAGATATTATGCACTTGCAAACATCCATGCCTTCTCTGGGATTTGAACAAGGGCCCTTTGGTGCAGCAGTCAGCATCACTAATCACTATCATACCTGAGCAGCTGTTTTACAAATAGCAAGAAACTATATTTTTTCACTAAGAAATATTAAACGATCATTGGTATATAGATCATTCTAAACTAAGGCCACCAATAGCCAAGTGGTTAAGACTGCTGAATATTGGTAGTTCGACACAAGGCGATCAGGCTGGCTGCATTGTTTTCCCCATGTGTGAAGAAAATATGAGCCAGCTTCCTTTAAAAAATCCTCCAGGAAGGCATCTCTCTCCTTAGGCAGCTAGCCCTCGTGTGCTCTGTCAAATTCAAATTACCTAACCTCATCCTATAATAAGAATTCTCTTGCGTATATTTATATGATTTAAGCCATCCTGATCTGGGATATACTGATTTTATACATTTCAAAGCCAACTGCAAATCTAAATCTGATTCAGTTTCTCATTTACCTTTATTAAGCATGGGTATGCATGTAAGCATGGGTCTTAACTCATGCACTGTTCATCACTTCACAACATTTATTCAGAAAAGTTGCTAAAATGGCCAGTTCTGAATAAAAATTAAGCTTGAACTTTCAATTATGTCAAAAAGAGTTTCCAATTCTGGAGCTGCCAAAGGATCTACAAAGCGAAAACATGTTTCGATGTCCATCAAACAAAAAGTGGAATTGCTGCAAAAAATGGATAAAGGCATGAAGAAAGTGACAGAGAGGTTAGTGAAAACGAAAAAATATTCTGATTGACAAGTTAATCGGTATTCTCGGCACAGCAATTACAGGACTTGAACAGTGGAACTTTGTAACTGAACAAGAAATTATGTCTGTTAATGTTACGCAAGAAATTATATGTTACCTGGTGAAATAAACATTCATGCGGCCATTAAAATTAAAATGGTTGTCGGAAAAGGCAGACAAAACTGCAGAGCTCAGCAGAAAGAACATTAATTACATTGTCCTTACACCGAGTGCACCTTACTACAGTTAGACAAGTTTCACACAAATTCGAACTTGGTGCACTGTCTTTTAACACAACCTGAGCACTCGTATCAGGCTAAAATGTTGCAGCAAGTTCCACATTAACTGTTTCATTTGTGCATAACTTAACAATTTAAACTTGCAAGATAAAAAAAAAAAATTCCTTCAGATACGCCACCCGCAGCAGATATGCCACAGATATAAAATTTCAACTTTTAAACACGTATAAGCCATGGCTTTTTTACCTGAAATTATGGTACCTCTAAATTTCATACTTGCACATTTATATTAATTTGTTATGCTAATTAAGAATAACACATATAAACTATAAAACACAAGCACACAGTGCAATATTTTTTTAAAACCAAGCACAAGAACACAAAGCATTACTCAGAATTATTATTAATTAAATATCATAACTAACCTTTATTACAATTTGAGGTCCACCACAGAAATAATAATGTAACTATTCACAATATATAGTCGAAAATAATGAATTGCCCATAGCAATATTTTGAAGTAAATAACACGTTAATAATAAAAGGAGATTAATATTTATACTTTCACCAAAGTTTACTTAGAAAAATCCTAAATCTTCTTCTAAATCGAAATTTTTAAATCTGAAAACTATGCTTTCATCTTGCTCTTCAGTAATGCATAAATACACATTTTTATCTTCAAAGTTCAGCTAATCCATCTGGTTTACAATAAACCCTTGCCAAGGGCATACTCTCAAAACACGATTTCCCATAGATGCAGTATCGTAAGTTGTTTCCATTCAATTTATCCAGTGCTCTAATTTCATTCATACATGGTTCAACATTCATTTATTGACCTTGAGTGCTTGCTGGCATCAGCTTCAGCCAGAAAAGTCAACTATTTAACTGAGAATGAATGGAGAACTAGATGATCTTGTAAGACCAGTCAACAATGAAAGTAATAATAATGAGGATCAAGTTCCTGTAAAAACAGCTAAAATATTTAAAAAAACACAAGAACTGCCTGATTTTGCAATGAAAGTTGACCCAAATGAAGAAAGATCAGGACACTTTTGAGAAGCAATGAAAAACTCTACAAAACATTTAAAGAGATTCATCAGTGATTGTTCCAAGCAAAAATGACCAGGTTTTTAAAAATGTAATTGCATCGTGCTTTTATTAAGCAGCAATAAGAAATTTTATAAATTAACATCCTTCTTTTTTTTTTTTTTTTTTTTTTTTTTTTTTATCTTTTACTTAACACAATATTTAGGTCTATTTAAATTGTATATACTTCCTTAATCTGAATTATAACTAAAATATTTTTTCACACGGAACTTCAAATTCCTGTGAAAGTACAAAATGCTCAGTTTTAGTAATGCACGTTTAAATTCAATTCTTTTGTCACTTCCATAAGCTAAACTCTTGAGAAAATTCACATGAGAATCAGTTAACAACGATAAAAAGACTCCGGTTTATAGAAAATTCCTAAAAATGAAACCATGAAGAATGCAAATTCGAGGGCTCTTTATAAAACTAATACAATCTCTTGCTGCATACTAATAGCAATTTTCAGCACAAAATTGTTATATCATTATCAATTTATCGTAAATCAAAAAAACATACCAAAGCAAAATAAAGTTGAAGAAAATATAATATTATAAATAATTACTCTTCTTTACAAGCTCAATTTCGCAAGTAAAAAGGTAATTTCTGAGTATATTTTAAGTTAACATCTCGTTTATTATACTAAACACCATATACAATACGAAAGAAATAAAAATGTTAAAAAATCTACTTACCCATAGAGGCAAATTATATTGTTGCCTTTTCTCGAAAGCAGCTTTCGGATAAACATCACGAACGTACAATATATAATGCAATACAATTTCCACTAATTCGGTTATGCCTTCAACCACCATTCCATTTAAATGGCGTCAATGAAATACAATAAAAGATGTATCAAATCCACTTTAATACATTTTTCAAACAGCTTCGGAATTTCGTATTTCTTATTACAGTATACTATATGTAAGGTTAAACCACACAATTCAGCTCAAAACAAAGTATAAATATTTACATTAAAATTTTTACAAGCCCTATTACTAACAATTTAAATGCCGTGCCACGAATTATTGCCACCGATTATGCCGAAACTGACAGTTTGAAATTCTTAGCGTAAACTCATAGGAAATCGAACCAAAGAATTTCTAAGGAGAAGAAGTAAAGGTTACCCTAGGCAAATGTGGCTCAGACCAAGGCCAACTTATATACTCAAGGCCTGCCAGTGTGAAAATATTCTTTTCTGTTTTCGGTGGCCTACCTGAAACTTCTACTGATCGCAAGAGGACGCTACGCTTTGCGACGTTAACAATGAGCAGAATGGTACCCCAGACAAATAATTGTCTTGTTATGTGCAAAATTTAAAAATGATTAATCTATAGTAGTCAGAAATTATACATTCTTTTTATTAAAAATACTTTTATTTAGAAAGAAAGCATGAAATTTCAAGTTATCACATTTTCTTTTTTCATATATAACCGTCGGATACTTGATTCTGATTTGCATTCCTGCTTGCATCTAAGAAGACATCTGTCTACTTTGTCTGTCCGTCTGTCTATTTATCATATGTCATGAGGCGCGTACGATGGAGGCAGGATCTTAGAAGAGCTCCTAAATTTTTAAAGTTGTTTTTCAGAAAACGTTCATTTATTTAGGAAAAAGTTTCGCGAATATCCTCTACATTGTCTCATTCTCAAAACCGAAAGTTCTCCTGTACCTAAAGGCCTTATCTTCCTTGCAATCTTTTACAACACCAAGACGGAACATTCAGATAAGTAGAGCTTCTTTTCTCTAAGCTAAATCAAATATCTGTCACTAAAGTACCTTTAAATTCATTTATTTATTATGATCATTATTATTATGCTCATTTTATTATGTTCTGGCATTAAATACTTAGTAATTGCTTTAAATCATTTTTTTTTTTTTTTTTTTTTGTTGTTGTTGTTGTTACCATCTCGAAGGGACGCTATCCTTGTCAGTAGCCCATATCAGTAGTGTAGTCTGTTAGCGTCCATTAGTCTGTTAGTCTGTCCATTGGGGCCCCCTTTGAGGAATTTCTCGAGAGGGAAAAAACACGATCTTGAGCCTCAATGTATGCATAGATTTGTAGTTTTTGTTCCTTTGATCTATATTTCCTATCTATTTAAATTAAAAGCATATATTAATACAGTGTGCATCAACTTGATAAAATAGTACACATATAACAAATTATGACCATTATCTTAATAAAATAATAAAATGCTTATTTTTTAAAAAAAATAAATAATATTAAAATAAAAAAACTCTGTAATTTATTTACTTATTTTTATTTTGCTGATGTGTTCTCGCCTTGTTTTAGATTTATGATTTTATCTGATGGTGTTTTCTGAGTATATGAATATGTTGGAAACCGCAATAGATTATGTTACTTTAGTTAATGTATAATTTTGCATGATATTATATGTATCTTGATCTTATGTGTCTTTTGTTACTGTGTCTCAAGGTAGAGGTTAACATATTGTTTCCCATGTTAAAAAATAAAAATTTAATTTAAAAATTTTTAAATTTTAGTTTCCCTGTTATAGCAAAAGTTAGCTTCTAAACTAGACTTATACTCTTATGTGACTGGACCCCTAATATTTATATTTTATTATTAATTTTCCCCCATCTACACATCTATTCAGCTTTACAAATCACACTCATTACACACACCTGGAAGACTTTATTTAATGTAAATGATAACAACGTCCTTTGACTACACTCATCGACACAATCCTGTTTTTTTTTTTAAATTTTTTTAACAAAATTCTCTTACTTCCTTTCCTTTTCTTTCTATAGGCCCTTTTTTAAAAAAAAAAATTATAAATAATTTTTTTTCCTCTCCATTACTTTTGGGCCATTTATTTTTTACTTTATTTTGTCCCATCTTTTCTTCCTGGCCTTTCGAACTCGTATAAAATATACGAAGTTCCTTTTTACTCTCCTCTGAAATTCGAAATTGCCCCCCTTTCTATATACCTTTCCTTCGCACCTATGCTTGATTTTTCGCCCATCGGTGCAGAAAGACTTAGCGGGTGCAACAAAAGACATCTGTCTACCTTGTCTGTCTTTGTCTGTCTGTCTGCTTGCATCTAGATATACGCTATTTTTAATTTTACTTATTTGAGTTACCTATTCTAATTTAAGGGTAAGTTAGAGCACATGTTTTACTTTTAAATTATTTATATAGTACGAAGTTAGCAGGTAGCTTCAGAACATAAACTATTTCAGCGCAAAATTTTCATCGTATTAATATCAGTTGTCCTGTGCAACAAAATAATTTGAAACCACTATTAAATATGTAATTAAGAAATTAATAAATGATGATCTAAAATTTGTTAATACATAAGAGAAAAAGTATTTCTAAAAGAGATTTGGTTTTAGGTACTGAAGATTTTTTTCTCTTTTTTAATTAATATAAAATGCTTTTTTTAGGAAATATTAAAAACTTAAAATTTTAAATCATGCAGATTTAGAGTTCTGAAGAGTAAACACAGCACTACAGCATATAATAATAACATGTATGACAGTATGTATAATAATAACATGTACCTACAGCATATAATAATAACATGTATGCATGGAGGTTAGAATCACCTCCTTGCATGTATGACCATTAATCACAATACTCCCTCTGTCCCAAATTTGTTGCTACATTTGAGTACTCATTATTGATACTGAAGATTTTATCATTCTTTTTGTACATTTTCCAGAATTTTCAGGGTGCTACGTTATCAATCAACAACTTACCAAGCATTCCCTCCTTAAATCAGTACCAAATTAGTTTCAAAAATCCAGCTTTCGCACAGCCTTAAGCCACGCCCCATTTTGTAAGGACTCATCCATCAGTAATCGCTTAAAATCTGCAGGCTAATTAAATGTAAATTAAATGATCTGCCTCGTCTATACGAGCCAGTTGCCTCAGAAATTTTTCCACGAAGGCATCCTTCATCTTAGGCAGACAGCCCTCGGGCTTTGCCTTAATCACATAAACACGATCTTTCTGAAATACGGGCGGTAGAGTCCTTACAAAATGGGGCGTGGCTTAACAGCATGCGAACTCTCTACATTTGCGTCTATAAAATTGTCCCAAAATAAGTGCTACATTTGTGGAAATTAAAACTGAGAATGAAAATCTAGTATGCAGCGTTACATTCCTTATAGCACATTGTGTAATTTTACTGATGTTGATCTGCTAAACTACATCGAAAGTTATTTTGACTCCGCCTACGTGAAATGTAGCAACTAGTTTGTGACTCATCCATCAGTAAGAAGGGAATATAATATTTTGAGACTGCTGGTGTTGAATACTAAATATTTCAATATCATTGACCGCCTATTTTAAAAAAATAAAGCCATATACCCTAAAACAAACTGTATTACCTCTATTAATTGCATATATATGTAAGGATTCAACATCAATCTCTATTACACTCATGTCCATAAATTAAGGATAATTCGGAATCACGCGATACTCGAACTCTAAAATAAATATATCACCTATAAAATCACTACACACATCTTCAAGAATCATATGCAAATTTCAGGTAGTAACCAGATGACACCGATGGTACGTCACAATGACGAGAGTGTAAGAGAGTGATATACGAGAGTGATATACTCGTATAGTGATATACTGATATAGTGATATACGAGATACTGATATAGTGATACTCGTATAGTGATATACGAGAGTGATATACTCGTATAAGGAATACAGGCAAAGAAGTAAAAATTGTTCGCAGGCGCTTTATAAGCATTTCAGTGCAATAACCGAATAGTTATGACACAAAGGACGCATTTGGATGATTTTTTACGTGGTAGAATTATCGGCCGTCTGGAATGTGGGCGTACCCAACTGGAAGTATAAGACGAACTTGGAATTGCCCAGAGTGTCATCTCCAGGCTTTGCAACGATTCTAAGATGATGGTAATGTGAGTAGAAGTTACAGCACAGGTCGGCCCAGAGTTACAACGCCGAACGAGGACCGTTTGCCAGCTACTGCCAAAAGAAACAGGTGGAGCACAGCCTCAGACCTGTCTCGTCAGCTCTCTTCAGCCACTGGTACGAAAATTTCAAGGCATACCGTGTACAGACGCTTAGGGCAGATTGGTCTATATGCTCGTAGACCTGTCAGATGCGTTCCACTTACTGCAACTCACTGTCGCCTGCGGTTAGCCTGGAGTAGAGAGCATGCATTGTGGACACGCAACAGTGGGCTTGTGTGATATTTTCCTACGAGTCCAGGTTTATCCTGCAGTCTGATTCTCGCCGGACTTTCAAATGTAGAGCTCCAGGTACCCGTTACCACCAAGAAAACATCATTGAACGACACTGTTACGGTGGTGCAGGAGTGCTGGTTTGGGGTGGAATTATTCTGGGTTCCAGAACTGACCTGCATGTTCAAATTGGAACCATGACAAGCCAAATCTATCGGGACGTCATTCTGGAACAACATGTACGTTTGTTTCGGGGCGCCATGGGCGCACAATTTGTGTTTATGGATGACAACGCCCATCCTCACCGTGCAAACATCGTAAGCGAATGCCTTCACTCGGAGGATATCACCCGTATGGACTGGCCAGCATTCTCACCGGACTTGAATCCAGTAGAGCACGTGTGGGACATGCTTGGCCGACGAGTTGCAGCCCGTCAACCTCCTCCTACATGTCTACCGGAACTTCGGAGAGCATTCCTTTTTTATTGGTGTAGTATCCCCCAAGATCAGATCGATAATTTGATACTCAGCATGCAGAGGCGTTGTACGGACTGTATTGCATCGTCTGGGAGACATACAATGTATTAACAATTATACCAACCATATAATATTGGTTTTTCGTAAATAGGGTTTTTTTGTAATTTGCTCCAGGGAGAAGAAATCGCTAATTTTTTTAATAATATCAAACATATAGCATCTTTTTCGCTCTTTACCTTTTGTTTAATAAATAAGCTTTATAAATAAGTAAAATTTGTTTTGCTTCTAACTCTTTCTTTGCCTGATTTTGCATTATCCTTAATTTATGGACATGAGTGTACTTCAAGTGCAACCACAAACACTCAGCCAGGTAGACACAAATTCATTCACAGCATATTGATACATCACACTAATTAAAATGAGATATGCGCTTTAAAATTTTGAAGCTAGTACAGACAGCATTCAAATGTTTCTGAATCAAAGATAACAAATACGAGAGCTAAAAAGTAATAATATATATACATTT